AAAACATTATACCCTGATTTCCCATTTTCAATGGGTTCAGGGTATAAAAAGACTTAAGTAAATAAGAATTCTGTTGATGTAAAACACGAACTTCGTTATTAAAAAAATTAGGAATATGTGGAAATTGGAACTCTTTTGCATGATATCTAATAAATAAATTACCAATTTTATAATACAGATAAAAACAAAGATCTAGTAATGTTACATAATAGTTGAACAATATCTGCATACAATTTTGATCTATAGTACAATTTAGAAACCATTCAGAAAAGGCTTCTCTAGTTATTAAACCTTATTAGATCCTCTTAGTTTTTGTTGATTATTTATTTATTTACTTACACTCACAGCTCTCTTGTTGCCCTCTACACATTCCCTCCCTGCGCGTTATGACATTTATTTTAACAAAAGGTATTTATTTTTATACTCATTTTATATTATTATTCAAACGATTGCGATCGCTATCAAGGAAATGATCGCAGCATAAATTAGTGAGACTTTTCGATGAGGGACTGGCCAGGCTTGTCGTCTGTCAACGGCTCGAACGGATGAACGTTTTCATTAAGTTGAGGGGAAAAAGCCGAGCAGACAGTTGTCGAACGACTTTCCCTCTATATAGGGGCGGCTGAGCAATTAAGGCGATCTGCAAGTGGGAACGAGACCCGTCTCCGATCAGGCGAAGGGTTACCACACCAAATGTAAGTGTTCATTGCGCTTTGTTTGTTTAATTGAATTTGCAGCTCACGACAAAGGGTACAGAGCAAAGCAAACGAAAGGCCAAATGGAGAAAGATGCGTGCGATTGCCACCGCAGCGGTAAATTTTCGGCCATAGCTGTGCCCATCGATTGATCATGGCCAAGGGACTTCGCCTGGACTTGATCAGCGGCACCATCCGCGTTGAAAAGCCATTGCTCCATTGGGAGCATCGCTGCGAACGAGCAGCAGTTCCTCGGAACAACTCTCGGCTCCACACTTATGTCTTTCGATATTCCCTTTTCGCCAACGCCCACCTCCGTTGCGGTTCGCCTTAAGAGCCTGGCTTCGCTGTACTTTATCGGGTAGTCCTATACGAGTGCCGATGCACTCCGGCTAGTACTAATACTGCTTTATGTGGTAAGCTCAAAAGAACTGTATGTATTAAAAGGTGAGAACTGTGAAGAACTGCTTTTCAGCTTTCAATTTTATTTAGCTCTCTGTAGTTAAAGTCTTTGGAGTTTTAATGTCTGTAGGATATTCAATAGTCGTGTTGGCTTGCTCATTTGCTGAGTTTTGCTTTGTTGGTTTTGCGTTTATCAGTTAAGATCAGCACGGATACCTCGCGAAGTGGGACTGGGACTGGGACTGAGATTGAGGCTGAGGCAGGGGCTTATCCTGCCTGGCTGGCAGCCTAGTTGCATGGCAGGTTTTTGGTAATTTTGTTATGTGCTTTGTTATTTTTTTTTTTTTTTTGTTTCGGCTTTTGGGGCACTGAATTTTAATTAAAATATTTCTCAGGGTCTTTTTCACTTTTATGCTTTAGCTTAGTTTTATAGGACTTTGAGAGCTTTTGGGTTTCGGTCTGCTTTGACTGTCGTGAGTGTGACACATTTGCATCAGATATGACGTGTCAAAGGACAACAACACAAAACACACACATGTATACATACATATATAGTGGCTAATAAATCACTTAAAGACCCACCGAGTGGTACATGGAAAAAAGTAATGAAAGAGAAGAGAAAATGAACTTGTCGCACCATAGTCATATGCTGGCATCACAGCCAACATGGTGGCATCACAGCTCGTAAATAGTTTATACTTGTTTTTCTTATTCTCTGTGCTGTTTTAGTGGTTGTAGTTGTCCATTCCATTGTTCTTCACGCATATCTGAATATCTCACATTCAATTGCAGTTAACATTTGACACGTTTTTGTTTCTCTTGCGAAACATCTATATTTCTTAGGTGAGGAAGCTACATGGCGCCAGCAGCTCGTTGCATGTCCTGCTGCGCTTGCCAAAAAGGACAAAACACACACACACACACGTAGGAATTGGTGGACTCAGTTGGTAGTTGTTGGAATTCTTTGAGGCGTGAGACAAAATTTTGATTGGCCAAAATTGCGGTTGGAATATTCGGGATTCTGGTTGGCTTTGGTTAATCTTGCTTTTCGTTTTAAGGATAATTTTGGGTTAGAGTGAAATTGATATGTTAACGGATGGACGTGTTGTGTCACAATATGAGGTTGATCCACGATGAAAACGTTTACCGTGTAATTGCCAGTGAACCGATCTGAAAAGAATAGAAACAGATTATATGTACGTAAGTATGAATAAAATATATACAAATAAAGGAGATATATACATAATTTATTTATTTATACAGGTAATACAATAATATAAGTTATGGGCGCCAGCTAAAAATTTGACAAGCATTTTTTATCACTGTTTTTATTATTGTTTTTTCACTTCATCATTTTTATTTTGAATAATTAGTTTAATCACACAATCTGTTTAATGTTTTATGTTCTTAAGTGCTCTGACATTTAATATATCATTGTCATTTCTGGCATTTCGGACGCCTTTGCCACGCATAAATCTCAATCAGCGGGCCTCTAATCTATCTTCGAGTTGCTTTTGCGAAGGCTCCGACTGATTTTTGCCAAATACAATACATTGTGCAGTTGAAAGGTCAAAAAGTGGAGACGATAATAAGTAAAATTTTTAAGGAATATTTCAAAACTCTTAGGTTCTTTTCGCTGTTTACTCACATTTTAACATAAATTAAAGATTTATTTTAAAAATGTCTTATATTATTTTGAAGATTCATATCTTAACATCATCTATTTGAAATGGCCTCGTGCACTGCTTGCTGGTTGCGAGCTGTTTGAACGGAGCAGCCGAGACGAGCCGCGACATGTTCGATGTGCTGTACGTTAACAGCGCATTGTTAAGGCGCCCAATGAACTGTTAATTAACATCACATTCAAATTGTTTTTATCAATGTCGGAGTTGGAAATATGCGCAATATTTTGTAATCAAACATCTTGGTAAATGTATTCACGGAATTCGCATTCGATATGATGCCCGATTATGAGTCAGCGATATTTGACACAGTTTTGTGTAAACAAAAGACCTTAAAAGGGAAATAGAGAACTGAAAACAGAAAATATTTTAGTGTTTTTGATAAGCGTAGCTACCGAATTGACAGCACCTAACTAACCATTATCGAAAATATTTCATTGATGTCAGATGCTTTTTTTAATTGAACTGATTTGCTTGCCTGCCTATCGACGCATCACGTTCACGGACGGACATACACGTCGAACGCATGCGATATCTGCTTAGACCTAATTGAAAATTGAGATATGCGTTCAAAGTCCAAAGCAAAAAATTTGGTATTTCCGTGAGTACTTTACCTCCACGATATTAGGGAATTGGCAGACTGCTCGGATGCTGCTGAGCAGCATGGCACGAGCTTCGCTTATCTGCCTTGACAAATTGCAATGATCTGTAGAGGCTTTCAAGATCTCAGCAGACAAATAGCTCGTGGAAAGACGCCTTATAGATTAGACTGCTGACTCGCACTGATCTGCCGAAAAAAGAGAGTGTGAGAATAGAGAGTGGACCAGTGGACCTTGCTCAATGCGATCATTGTGATTGTGCATGGCTTGTTTTGAACTAAAAACTAGTTAAAACGTAGCTGTTTCTTTGACTAATTGTTAATAGTATAAATTGGCATGTGTTTTAAGTTTTGCGTTGCTTTTCGACTGGCCTCAAGCCATTCTCGAACTGGCTTTCATTAACAGCATCTGCTATCAGTTGCAACATCGAACCGCTGCGACATGTGCGCGACTGGGTGATAGTCGTCTGACTGAGTCTGTTAACAGTGCGACATGTGCGCTGCCATTTTGAGTTAACATTAACAGAAGCTGCGATTAGTTAACAGGGCTCTGCCGACCTAACAGCCCCAACGGCCGCACATTTGTAGCTGTATCTGAGTTTGTGTGTGCCTTTCGTCGGTTCAAGATCGCTGACGCGAACACAGCGGATAATAAGCTAACAGAAAAAGAAAAAAAAAAACACACAAAAATAACAAATGAGCAGAGAGAACCAAACCGAAACACAACAAATGCGTTACATTGAATTCGAAATAAACGCCGTACGCAAGAAAAATTCGAAATTTGAAATAAAAACAAAATTTATAGGAAATATTTTGAAATACCGTAAAGAAAATGCAAGTTTTATTTAAAAATCGTGCATGAAAATGAAAGTGAACAGTGCCTGAGAAAAGCCCATTAACTGATTTTGTTTTAAAAATCGACTTACACAATAAATTAAAATAATTAATATTATATTATTATAAAGCCTAACCAGTTCTACTACCCTAAACAAAATAGTCCCAGTGTCAAAATGAAATTGAAAAGAAATTAATTTCATACAAAATTTCATGATTGATTGTGCAAAATACAAATCGAATACAAGTTCAAACAAAGTGCAATACACACATAATTAAATATAAATACATACCTACATATATATATAAATTGATTTATATATATATATATATATATATATTATATTATAATATATTGAATATAAAACATATAAAAGATAACATTTTTTTGTTTAATAATACACAACAACGACAACGACAACAACAACAACAACAACAACAAAAAGAATAACAATATCAAAAGTGCTGTACAAATTAAGGGAAAGAAAAGCAAAACAAAATTGATTTAGGCTTTTGTTGCAATTTTTTCGCTGTGTAATTTTTTATGTTAACGCGGCACAATTTGCATGCAATGTAATTAAGCATACACACAGATGTACTATATATTTATATATGCTCATATATACATATGTATATATATACTTATATAAATGTGTGCTCCCTACACACCTACATCACATGCATTTGCACTTTTGATTTCCGCTTGGATTTGTGATACGCCGCAACTTCAACTCGTCGCTCATTCGCTTACAGAAGGCAATACGCACAAACCCATGTTGGATTATAATTTATACCCTTAAATTTGGGGGCTACAATGCGGCCAGAAATATACAATGTAAGTATACAATGTAAACACATACATACACATATAAACACTCATACACCTACACTCATGGTAATCATGCCACGCCTCCTACACTCGCACAATAGAATCGATTAAGATTGCACTTAAATATAATTAAGTCATATATATAAATATATATTTATAGGATTTTCTTTATAATATATGGGCGCACTGATAGCTTTGGAATCAAAATTATGTCAGCCCGGTAAAATCGAAATTCGATTTTGGGGCTAACGAATTAATTCCAGCGCCCATTTATGATACAATATAATGCATAATTTTCGGAAGTTTTTAATGCCAAGAAACACCTGGGCTCTGGTCTAAAATTAAAAACAAATTCGTTTATAAGTCTAATTAACTATAAATATATTTA